GTCGAATCGGACCTGTAAACCTTGTCTTTGGCCACGTCACATTCTTGCTCGACATCTTCTGCTCCATCGTCTCAAGTACTTCAGTCAAATCTTTCCTCAGAGGTGTAAAGTTATGATACCTCTGTCTATCGAACGACAATGGCCTACCCTGCCACCTGTCGTCCCTTTTTTCTCGCTTCGAATCTCGACCTTCCCTCCTCGACGATGTCTTCTTTGACCCACTCCTCTTGGGTGAACTCATCCTCGGTGACCTCCCTCTTTGCGGACTCTTCTCCTTCTTTGGATCTGGCCGAGCCGCTCCTCCAACTTAGCAAACTCCACCTCCATCTCCTCAGATAAATATACTTTCTACAACGCTTCAAGACATCCTCATATGATCGGGCAGGGGTCTTTGCCAAGGAAGTTCGGCAAGGCCTTGCCCGAAGACTCTTTATCAAACCTCCCGCTTTCACCTCATCCGACGCTGAGTGCACTTCCAAACATGTTTGATTATATCGAGCCACGTACTTTCTCAACGACTCCTTCTCCCCTTGCCTCATCGCCATCAGAGTCAAGTATGTCTTCTCCTGTGCTACTGCGCTCGAATATTGATTGGTGAGCTTGCTGGCAAAATCCTCAAAGTCCGCAATCGACCCAGGGGGTAATTGATGAAACCAGTCAAGTGCTCCTCCTCGCAAGGTCGATAAGAATGCCCTGCAACACACAGAATCAGAGTACCCATGCAATACAGCCATGTTCTTAAAGGTCCTCACATGCCATGATGGGTCAGATGACCCATCATACACCAAATTAGTCTCCTTGAAATTATTTGGTAGGGGGGCTGCGAGAATCTCCCTCGAGAACAATAGTCCTCGAGCCCTCCTTTCCGGCCTTCTTTCAACCTTGTCCTGCAACTGGTGCAACTGCTCTGGCATCCTCTCCATCGCACAATCTCTTCCACCTCCTCTATCTCCATAACTGGGACACGTCCTCATCTTGACCTTCTACTGCCGTGGTCGGCGCGGTGGTGGCGTGAGATGTGTGGCTCGTGACTTGCTGCACCGCTTGCGCCGCCGCGGCTGCCGCTATCCTTTGCATCTCCTCCCTGGTCATCGTCACCATCTATTGACCAGGAGGTTATGCGATGGCTTGTTGTGGTGCTCTTCCTTGTGTCGCCACTCCTCCTTGCACCATCGCTCCTCCTGGTTGTACCATCACCAGATTTTGTGGTGGCGGCGGTGACATCGCCGCAGCAGCTGCTGCGCGAGCTTCCTGGGCACGGCTGGAGCTGGCGTCTCCTTCGGGGATCGCCGTCGTCTCTCCCACACCTTGAAGGACGGGTGTAGGAGTGACTGGCGTCTGTGAAGGGCCAGAGAAGCCCGGAGGAGGGCCTTGTCCAATCGGCCTGGTCGTCGTCCAAGCGTCGTCGAACATCGACTGCAAGTTAGTTCTGGGAATCCCGTCCGCCATAGCTGAGCTTCAAACACAATCTTTCGAACAAGAGTCCCACAGACGGCGCCAATAATGCACGTATGAGCGTCCTAGTCCGATTTGGGGTAGATCGATTCTTGTCCTCACCGGTAGAACGTCGGAAACCTGCAAATAACTCTCACACCGGGGGTTGTGTCCGGTGAAGAGCCTCCGATGCTTAAGTCAGTATGTGTATGAGTGTACTGAAGTGAATAATAGAAAAATCGTGTTAAGGGAGAAAGGCTCACCCCCTTTATATAGGGGTGAGATACCTGCCCTAATAGCTGCCCGGATAAAGATGAGCTGGCTGCCCAAGCTGCCCGTCCGTACTCTGACACGCCGCGCACATGTCAGAGGTGGCGCGGGGCGTTGGGAGCTGTCAGAGGTAGTTGTCGCTATCACCCAATATATTCTCGACACGTGTCCTCCTGCACATGGGGTAAATATTCTCTTGGAATTCGGTTGGAGGCTCTTACACGCGCCTGTGACTAGGCCGATCTGTTGAGTGTTGAGTCTGCGAGATGCTCGACCTGCTGAGGTCGATAAGGTTGCTCGATCGTTTGTTTGGTCGAGCGATGGATTGGTCGACTATTTGACCGGTCGACAAGTTGTTTTGCTCGATTTTTTCATTGCCTGGCTCGATTCCTTCATGGTGCGACCCCTCCGTCCGATCCAGTAGACCGGTTTAGCTTGGGGTATATAATATCCTATATATATATATATGTAGAAGGGATCATATGAGAATGATAGATAGTGAAAGAAATAAGAATGACTATAGGCCATTGGATCAAGCATCTCAATGAACATGATGAAGTCAAAATTAAGTTACAAGGTCAAATTTGTAATGGCAATATTGTAATTATAATGCTATTTTATGTATAAATAAATAAAAGATAGGGAAATTATGTAATTTAGCAAACAACCAAATAAGTGGGCTTACCCATAAAATCTCCCACCCACCACCATGATTCCTCTCTCCACTCACCTCTTTCTCTTTCCTCTCTCCTCTCTCCCTTATCTCTCTCTCTCACCACACACGCACAGAACACACACACACACAAAATCTGTACCACCACCTCCAGCCACCGTCTTCCACCCGCTGCCGGCAACGGGTCGACCGATGCCGTCGCCACCATCCCCAACAACCGTCACCACTCGGCCGTCGTGAAGGTCCAGATCGGCCACACTTTCGTAGCAGCCAGGCGCCGCCCGCCGCCGAGTGCCGCCGTCAATTGTCGAGTTCTGCTACGAGTTGCTACCCGCTGCCGGCCCCGTGCCGAGCCATTCGAAGCTAACACCGACCTCCGTCGGACCTCGGCCAGAAGTAGCAGCCCGTCGCCGCCACAGCCCGACACGTCCAGTCGCCGTCGCAGCCCGGTCTATCCCGTCGTCGCCACATTCTACTACTGAAGCCATCCCGTCGTTTCAGGCAGCCGACCCAGCGTAAGGTGGCACCTCGATTCTGCCGATGATATTAACCATATGGACATCAGCATGTACCGCGGAAACAGACGTGAGCTGCCTTGTGTACTGTTGAAGTTTCTGACGTTGATGAACTGATTTCGGAATTTGGGGTTTTTGGAATTTGGGGGGCTAGGTTTTGGAAATTAGACATTTTCTAAGGACTTAACTACAAATTACAAAAATTTAACTATTTCTCACTTTTGGTCAGATTTTGGTCTGTTTGTTTTAATTGCAAACTGTAATAGTTTTTATTTTTGGTCTGTTTGTTTTATTTGAATAGAGAATGACATAATAATAATAATAATAATAATAATAATAATAATAATAATAATAATAATAATAATAATAATAATAATAATGATAATAATTGAACCAAAATATAAAAAATTTTACTAAATTTTTTATGGTTGGATATCGTTTGATTTTGTGCAATTTGGTAGACATTTATGTACAATCCGTATAATCATAATGTGCATTCGCAACACATACAAATTACAAATATAAAAATATTAATTGATTTTCATAAGACAATATAAATAAAAAATAGGTAATATTTTTTATATAGTTCGGGATATTTGGTTATTTTGTTTATTTAAAAAAAATCTGAACTTTGACCAACTAATATTATTTGTTCAATTACCATAATTACAATAATTTTGGTTGTAATTTTGGTAGGTACGTCGTGTTATTTTATAAGGTGCAACATGGCGTGTTATAAGGTGCAATCTAATACTGTATAAAGTGCAATGTATGGATACATAAGGTGCAATACTGATATTTGATAAGTTAGCACGCTTGTTTTTTTTTTAGGTGGATAGATAATATGATGGATATTAAAGTATTATGTAGATCTGTATATAGATTTATATTGCGGAATAATTTGGTGGGACCTGTTGATACTAATTAATTGTGGAGTGTGATAATAAAGTGCAACATGATGTTTTATAAGGTGCAACGAGTTGTTTTATAAAGTGCAACATTCCGTTATATAGAGTGCAATAATTTATACATTTTTGTATAAATTACGTATGCTCAAAAACTACTTTAATATACATAATTGTACATCGAATTAAACTACACATTTAATATAATTTTTATTAATTACTTTTATAATATAATTTATTTATTTGTAATATTAAATAATAAATTATAATCAATAAGTGCAACGTGATGTTTTATAAGGTGCAACATGTTGCTTTATAAAGTGCAACATTCTGTTGTATAGAGTGCAATAATTTATATATTTTGATATAAATTATACGTATTCGAAAACTAACTTAATATACATAAGTGTGCATCGAATTAAATTATATAATTAATATATTCTTTATTTATTATTATTATAATATAATTTATTTATTTATAATATTAATAATAAATAATTCAATTACCCAATCTAAATATTTATTAATAAATAAGTTTATAATAGTAGCTAAAGTACCATTGGATTGGAAAGCATTCCGCTCTTTTCTTCATTCCCTATTTCACCTTTCGAAAGAAGTTGTAAATAAGTATAATAAATTATTAACTTGAGCAATTAAATTAATTAATTATTTATATTATTAATTGAATTAATTTATATTTATATTATAAAAAACATATTTAATATTTTAATATTTTTATTTATTCTTTTATAATAGAATTTTTTCTTTTAAATCCTCAATAATAGATTTTAAATATTTTTAATAATTACATATGTTACTCATGGCCTAAAATGAAATATAATTACAATTGTTTGAATTCGCAGATTGACCCCAGTGGTTTAATTGTAATTAACTAAAAGTCTTAAAATTGCAAATCAATCCTTGAGACTTATCCAATTTCCAAAAACTGGCCCACAAACTCAAACCCCCTTTTCAGCCTCCTAGCCGCGGCTACGCCGCCGGCGACCGATATCCGCCCGTCCACGGCGCCGCAGACGCTTGTTCCCTCGCTGATTACGTACCTCGTCCGTTCAACCACCAGTAAGCATTTTTTTTTTATAGACGTGCCGCCAGCGGCGGCGGTCAAGTCACATGGCAAGTCCACAGCGGCAACCGAATTTCATGTAAGAAGTCACGACTCGCAGGTCCGAGCGACCAGTTCGACGGAGATGGCATTTTACAGGGTCGGCCGACTGGAGAGACGACGGTCTTCTCAGGCGATGTGGCGGGGGAAGGCCGACAGTCGTCATTTAATATGTGTAGTCGATGTGTGTGTGGCGGCCATGTCGATGGTGACGGCGGATGTCGGAAGTCGGCCGGTGGGTAAGTCTGCATAATTCTCCGGCGAGTGTGGCGGGGGGAGGCCGACGGTCATGTGTGTTTTGTATTGAGTGCGTGTGTGTGTAATGTGACAGAGAGAGAGAGAGAGAGAGGGAGAGAGAGGGAGAGAGAGAGGGGGTGGGATGAATTTGTGAGGGCGACAAATGTTCTGGGAAATGTAAACATTTTAATTGGAGTAGGGCCCATTAATTGTAATGTGTATTAGTTGGTGTGTGTAAATGTCAATAATGTCCTTAATGACAGATAATCTGGCTTTTATTTTCAGCCATTTGATCATCTCATCTAGTGGCTATGATTTATTCTTATTTCTTTCACTAAGCATCATTCTCACTGGAACCCAACCCTATATATATATATATATATATATATATCTGTTTCCTCTTTTGTTTTCTTTCATCAACTTTTAGACATTCTTAAAGTCACATAACAACAGATTTTTAAAGAATTAAAATGATCATATAACAATATGCCAATAGGTCACAAAACTCAGCCAAACATACAGCAAAATTGGGGCCAGTTAAAATACAGCACAAAAACCGATCATCATAACAGTTGTAACTTCAGAATACTAAGGCTCTGAAAGTACCAATTTCAGCATGCTATTATTACTTAGACATTTTTGTTTTTTATTTTTTTTGGCACAAATTTTTACTTAGACATTAACTCAATACATATATCAAAAGAAGGCTAAAGCAATTCACACTAACATGCATTAAACTCATAACCTGCTTCTCAAACAGCCATCTCATTCCAAAGCCAAATAAAATTGAAACCATGCTCTGAAACATACTCAATTGCAGCATATTCACGCAACAGTTATACATTCATTCTAACATCATCTAAGACAAATGAACGAGTACAGAAAAATCACATAGCAAAGCACATTGATTCTCTGAAATTCATAAATAAAACACCGAAAAGAATCCGATTTCAAACAAGAATTTGGTAGCCCGTATGTTACATAAATCTATCATGTGATATATGAGAACGACCGGAATAACGAGAGGATTCGAATAAGTTACCCGACTTTGGAAAACTACAAGTTATCGAACAGGAAACGGGCCCGACAGCGGGTCGGACGAACGGCTTCGATGCTCGACGAAAGGCTATTGCTCACGAACGGCTCGCTCGGACGGACTGGGGGCTGCCGGAGAACGCAAAAAGGACGTCGCTTTTCAGTCGGACGGACGTCGGGTTCTCCGAACGGCTGCCGGAAGGTGGCTGTGCTCCCCGGCGTTAATGGAGGACGGAGCTGCTGGACGTGGGCTCGCATACGTTCACGGGATGCTGCTCTTGGTCGTGAATGACGTCTGTTGGTCGCGAAAGAGGAGGCTCGCCGGGACTGCTATTCACGTCGGAGATGGCGCAATGGAGCGCCGGAATTAATGGAGGTCGCCGGAATCAATGGGCGAGGTGAAGATGATGATGGTGGTCTGCTACTTGCGGGAAGGAGAGAGAGAGAGAGAGAGAGAGAGAGAGGAGATGGTGATGGCGTGAGAAGGAGGAGCTCGCGTCGCCGGGAATGGCGAGGAAGCTTTGTGCAGAAATTTGCAGGTTCTCTTTTTTTTTTTTTTTTTTTT